TCTACAGGGAATTACTTAGCTTCTGGTCCAGTCCAACTCCTAATGTTTTTGGTGTTAGGAAAGTTTCAGGAAATCAAGATTGTGGATGAATAGAGTTAGGTTAATTAGTATGATTACCGGTACTAGTATCCTGAGGTACAGGTGTATGTATTGAAAATCTTGAAACTCTACATTGGCGAAAATTGAAAAGCTTCTGGGTGCCTGTCCTTGACTTTTGGCACTGGATATGACATATGGCTAAGGCTATATAATTTGTACGTCCATAGGTCCTATTAAAAACCATTTCCTACTAAAACATTGCTGTATAAACAATTACTAGTTTCTAAAATAGCATGGGCCTGCTTGTTCTACTTAATGTCTCAGTGTCGTAGCCAGGATAAGATCAGTAAGGGGCAGAGTGGTGGGGCAAGATTTCTCACAATGGGGACAAATTATGATAGGATAAGTTGTTATGCTTTACTTTATTTTTGTCATCACAGAAGTGGGGCAAATATATTAGCTAGGTTATGAGGATGTCTCTATATAATTATCAAAGATAAAAGGTAATATATACTTTTAAAGGTAAAGACCAGTATTGGAAACGCCCCAATTTCAAAAAATGAAATGGAAGCTCTCATTACCAATCATGTGAAAGAATATGTTTTGACTAATACATGATGATAAAAAATTGCCGGAAACCGCCTACTAATTCATATATTTGGTAAATTTGTTTCTCTCATGGTCTGGTGAGAGATAAAGGGTAGTCCCATATACATCTTTCTGTGTATAGTGCTTGTAACTTTACGACGAATGGGCCAAATTTCCTATCATTTTGATGATTCCAGAACCTTGCAGATGCTAGATGCTAGATGATCAACCTTTTCTGATCGATTCCACAACGTTTCTTTCACTTTCACAATGCAATCGCATGACCATTACTGGTCTTTACCTTTAAAGAAAGACATAATACAGGGGACGCCAGCACTGATTGCATATGGCATGACGGTCACAAAATCATATCTTATTTGGCTAAAAATCTTGATAATCTCGTATTATAAATCGCCACCCTCTTCTCGTATTATGAATAGTGACCCTCAATACAAATTATGAATAGCGCCCCTTCCTCATGTTTATAAATAGCAACCCTCTTCTCATAGAATTGAATAGCGACCCTCTTTTTGTATTATGAATAGCAACCCTATTCTCTGTCCTTATGGGTAGCGACCCTCTTCTCCTATTATGAGTAGCGACCCTCTTCTTGTTTTATGAATAGCCACCCTCTTCTTGTTTTATGAATAGCCACCCTCTTCTTGTTTTATGAATAGCGACCCTCTTCTCGGTCCTTATGGGTACGGACCCTCAATACAAATAAATAGCGCCCCTTCCTCATGTTTATGAATAGCAACCCTCTTCTCATAGAATTGAATATCGACCCTCTTCTTGGTCCTTATGGGTAGTTACCCTCTTCTCGTATTATGAATAGCCACCCTCTTCTTGTATTATGAGTAGCGACCCTCTTCTCATATTATGAATAGTTACCCTCTTCTCGTATTATGAATAGCCACCCTCTTCTTGTATTATGAATAGCGACCCTCTTCTCATATTATGAATAGTTACCCTCTTCTCGTATTATGAATAGCCACCCTCTTCTTGTATTATGAATAGCCACCCTCTTCTCATATTATGAATAGCGACCCTCTTCTCATATTATGAATAGCGACCCTCTTCTCATATTATGAATAGCGACCCTCTCCTCGTATTATAAATAGCGCACCTTCCTCATGTTTATGAATACATGTAGCAACCCTCTTCTCATATAATTGAATAGCGACCCTCTTCTCGTATTATGAATAGCAACCCTCTTCTCATACATGTAGAATTGAATAGCGACCCTCTTCTCGTATTATGAATAGCAACCCCTTCTCATAGAATTGAATAGCGACCTCTTCTCGTATTATGAATAGCAACCCTCTTCTCATAGAATTGAATAGCGACCCTCTTCTAGTATTATGAATAGCAACCCTCTTCTCATAGAATTGAATAGCGACCCTCTTCTAGTATTATGAATAGCAACCCCTTCTCATAGAATTGAATAGCGACCTCTTCTCGTATTATGAATAGCAACCCTCTTCTCATAGAATTGAATAGCGACCCTCTTCTCGTATTATGGATAGCAACCCTCTTCTCATAGAATTGAATAGCGACCCTCTTCTAGTATTATGAATAGCAACCCTGTTCCCGTGTTATGAATAGTGTGCGTATCCCTGCGTGTATCTGACGCGAAGGCAATCTGCATGTAATCGAAAAGGCTTGACTCGAACTTTAATTTATCTTTATAAGGAGTAAAGCATAATTTGTTGATTAACGTTCTATTAGGTCTTCTTCGATGTTGTATAAAACAAATAATGAATGTTTTTCATTCGTTTAATAGTGCAAATATTTTCATTCGTTGAAAGATTAACGTTAATTCTATTCAACTCGGCTGACGCCTCGTTGAATAGAATGTTAATCTTTCAACTCATGAACATATTCGCACTATTGAACTCATAACCATTCATTATTTGTATACTATGTAATGACCCTTAATGTGAATTATGAATAGCTGCCCTATCTCACATTATGAATAGCAGTCCTTATAAATAATCATGCCTTTATGAATAGTGACCCCTTTTCCGTTTTATGAATAGCGAGGTTACCCCTGTAGATCACCCCTGCAAAACAAGGGGTACGTAAAAGGGCTGCTATATTAACCAGCAGAGCCAATTGGCCCTCTGCCCCCTCCCCCACAATTAGTTTTGGGAAGTTTTTTGGGGGGTTGATTTGAAATTTCATTCTTAGAAGCGACTAACAAATAGTGGAAAAATACAGTTTTTAAAATGTAAAAATGTAAAGTCTTTTCAAAACGTACTTGCTCTGCTTACCCAAGCAAAGACTAATTTGATTCTGATTCAATATTTACAGAATAACTTATGAAACACATATGACACAAAATTACCAAATACCTTGGACTTGCCCATACACGAGCATCAAAACAATATGGACTTGAAAATTTGAATTGTTGATATTTATCGTTCTAAATTTCACAACTATCCACATCAGGATGTATAACAAACCAAAGTACCAGTACTGTGAAAGAAATTAGCTGAAAACACAAGATTGGTTGGCTTTTTACAAATTAGTTTTTAACCTTATAAACTGCCATGGACCCCCCCCCCCCCCCCCCCCCCCCCCACTCGACCAAAGCTTCAGTCTTGTAGTTGTATGATGGGGAGCCCTTTGTCTGTGCATCTATTATTAGAATACATACATGTAGGCGATTGAGGCCCTCCCCCCCCCCCCCCCCCCCCCCCCCCCCCCCCCCCCTCCGATCGAATAATGAAAAAAAGGGAAAGAAAAAAGAAAAAGAGAGAAAAAAAGAAGGGGAAAGGAAAAGGAAGATAAAAGAAGACGATTAGACCCCTTCCCCCCTGATCGTAAATTTGCATTCAATTTTCTGACTAGACCTGTGCCCCCGTATGATGCCAGCTAGTCCCCCCTCAACTTCTGACTCTAGCTACGCCAGTGCATATGTTCGGGATTTATGACATGATGGAAACATTTTCAAGGGTTGTAGTATGTGAATATAATTACTGAAATAAGACTAAATCAGTACTAATGTTATGTAGATCTAGCCTATAGTAATCCCAGACAACTCGCCCTAAAGACAGCTCGCCCTTGGAAAACTCGACACAATACCCTGGACATCTCGCCACAATACCCTGGACAACTCGACCATGGCGAGTTGTCCAGAGTATTGTGGCGAGATGTCCAGGGTATTGTGTCGAGTTGTCCAGGGTTGAGATGTCTTTGTGGCGAGTTGTCTGGACCCCGTCTAATGATGTAGCTGCTAGCTGTTCGTTCCCCCAGTGATTTCTTCTTAATAACATTCTATAAATTAGGTACCTGTCCTTGTCTAGACCCTCTACAGATACTACAGTATACACAAACCTAACATTACACTAGTCCAAATCAAACAACACAGTAACACTAAACAACAGTTATAGTACTAGTATTTATAGTATATTAGTACCTGCATGATCTGACATGTACATCATGTACATGATGTAGGCCTAGGGCTAATTTATTGAAGATACATACAATAATGTATGTAGGCGGCTAGGCCTACCCTGATTTAATTAACATTGACTTGTACTTGTAGTTGTACACATTACTTGATCTTACTGTTACTAGTGTTATAACTAACCGTTCTACGACAGCACAGTCACAGTCACAGTGGCAATCAATTAGTCAAGATAATCAATACAACAAAGATGATAAGGCAACAAGTATAATTACTCACCCATAACACCATCATTCTGTCAAACTGTACATACATGTATATATGTAGGACTTCATGCATGCAGCATGCGCATCCATCAAGCGCCTTGGTAGTCTCTTTTAAAGTCTATGCGATAATACACGCAGGAGCAGGCTCGTGTGTATTGTCAATGGTGATGACAACACATTTACCAATTTTCATATGGAAAGTTGTTGCTTTGGGCAACAACTTTACCAAATCGGTAAAAAAAGCAACACATTTACCATTTTTGCAACAACTTTACCATTCACAGGCAACAACTTTACCAAAAATTGGCAACAAGTTTACATGGGAAAACCCTCTCTCTCTCTCTCCCTCTCTCTCAACCCATCTCTCTCTCGCTCACACTCAGACACACACGCACATGCTAACACTCATGCAATATCTCTCTCACTTCTCCCTCAACCCTCTCCCTCTCACTTCGCCCACCCCTGATCTCTCTCTCTCTATTATCTCTCTCTCTCCCTCTCTCTCTCTCTCTCTCTCTCTATTTCTCCCTCTCTCTATTTGTCTCTCTGTCTCTCTCTCTCTCTGTCTCTCTCTGAATTAGCCAACCCCCGTCTAAAACGTTGTTGATGTACAACTGTATACTCCATCAATGTGTACTCCGCTCAGCGTTCGAATGACTACAGATGAATACAAATTGAATCATAAACTTCGTGTCTTTCTAGTTCATAAATATTTCTTTCTTTTCTATGCATCACGTAGAATCATAAATAAAACAAATTTATTATTCATCTTGACAATATTAGACAACAAAATACCTATCTGATAAGGGTTATTACTTTACACAAGGCTACATTAAACATACAAGGTGCAATCTCGCCTTTTCCTTTTTTACTCACGTCGCGTTTTTAAACACGGTGTCAAAGAATTTACACATAACAATTGGGCAAACAGATAAGTCCTCCATAGAATGAAAGTGGACAAATGGTTGAAAAAATACCATACAAACGTTACCTTTCATGATTACGTAATGCTGAACTAAAAAGAGTTCGATGTCAAACAACAATATAATATCACATGCACTCTAAATGTCTTTTATGATTACGTAATGCTGAGCAAAAATGAGTTCGATGTCAACAACAACAATATAATATCACATGCACTCTAAAGGTCTTTTATGATTACGTAATGCTGAACTAAAAAGAGTTCGATGTCGAACAACAACAATACAATATCACGTACACTCTAAAGTTTATTCAAACTTATTCATAGTGGGGCAAAAGAGGAACATGCCCATTTATTGGGTAAGTTTACCCAATAATTGGTAAATTTGTACCTAACTTGGGGGTCTTTGATACCCAATATTGCGTAAAATTTTAGCCCAACTATTTTTGGAGTGTAATTGCACGTTAACTGGGTGAGATTTGCGATTGCCGGATTTGCTTTCTAATGCAATATATTACCATTGGAGTCAGAATAGAACGTACCTACACTCCTCTGTTTGTCTTCGTTGAATAAAAAGTCATTAGGCAGCACTAGCGTTTTCCAAGACAACCTTCCCATTTTCACGGGCTATTTTTCTTTGTAACCTTCGAACGAAATGGAATCATTTTTTAATTCCAGGCTAGTCCCCCTTTGGTACAATTCGTCCAATCCTAAACTAGTGTTTCCTCTACTACTACTGATTAAAATATCTTATTTCATCACAAGCATGAACTGTTTCGGTCTGCAATTTCAAATTGAAAACAAATAAAATCATGTGAAGTATTGTTTAAAGGCATCGTCTAACAATGTTAAATCTGAGATGCACGGCCCTATGTGTTATCAGTGTCTGTGATATTGTGTAATATTGAAGCCCTAAAAAATGGCGCTTCAAAGTGATCAAGAAGTGCCTTATTGGTACTCGTTTTCTTAAATAGACTGTAAAGTTATGCAAACCGTTAGGCAAACGAAAAATTCGGTTTCGATTTCCAATCATAAATATCTTGATAATCAGACAGACGATCGGCCTGTAAAAGTCATGGGGTTCCTGACTGATCTAAAGGTTTAAAATTATCATTGCAGCATGAGCTAAATCCAGGATTTTGTTTCAGAATATGAGACAAAGTTACTGGATCCCTTTAATTAGTACTTTGTTTTGGATGATTTTAGAGTAGCGTATCTCTCGTATCCTAGGTCATCCATGACATCTAGGCATATATTTTCAACCTGTTCAATCTCAAGCTCGCTCAGATCAGACAACCATTTCTGGGCAGTCACCCGAGAGTTCTTACGCACCGCAAAGGTGCCCGATGCGCTATGCTTTGCCTCTGTATTCTCCCGAACCCACTCCCTGATTCCCTGGGGGAGGGGTAACCCAACAAACTGGTAGAGGTCCTCGGTGGTGTTGAGGGGAGCTGCTGCGAAGTCTTCGTACCTCAGGAGATGATACCTTCCTTTCAACCAGTCCGGCATTGCGGCGGCATCTCTGAGAGTCTCTCGCATCCATTTGCACATGGTGGGGATACAGTCTTTTAGGCGTTTAGTGGCGTTAGTCAACCCAAGCGGGGCCAGACGGCCGTGCTTCGGGAACTCCGTTTCATGCGCTTCCACTAGCTCCCTCCAGCCATCGAAGTAGTAGTGGATACGTGATGCCGCCGAGCCCCTAGGGTCCCGAACCAGGTGAATAACCTTGACATTGACCTTGCCATCTATTACCAAGGGTTTTATATTGTCAAGGTCAGCCCGGATGATCTTAGTAGCTTTTAGCCCATTAAACTTAGAACACAGGTTATTAATCATATCGGCATTTTGAAATCTACAGCCATTTTGTGAGCTTGTGGCTTCACATACAGCGCGATTGTTGATCAGCCCGCCCCATAGATTGCTGAGGCGGACGTATTCCTCTGTCATATTACAAGCCGCAATATCCCGGATGACCCTCGACGAGTATTCATGGACTTCGGATGAAAAGGGTGAAGAAGGAAGCCTCTTCAGCCTCCTCATCTGGTCCACTAACCAGAGTGGCTCGAAGAGGTAAAAGACATCATGGTTTTGGTTGAAGAGTTCTCCTATGACGGACGAACCGAATCGCCATTGTGCAAGGATGACAATGAATGGTGGTGAGGAGGTTGATGGTGATTTAGAATTGAACACTATCTGATCTTCGACGCCTTCTTCAATTAACCCCATGTTCGGGACTTCTTCAAGCGTGGCTCTTTGGCGGGTTGGCGTCACGACCGCCGTAGATCTGTTGGGAAAATATCGGGATTCTTCCTCGTATTCGTGTGACGCCGTCCCCTTGTCGTGTCTACCGGGTTTCCTGGAAACCAAGTCGACATAGTTCATGGTCATCACGAAGAGGGTGAGGAGAGCGATTGCTAAGGCAAGTCGGGTGCTCCATCTCGAAAGGAGAAGATTCTTGCACTGGATTAGAGCTCTCATTTTGTATCACTTTCCACCCCACATTTCTATTCCAATAATGAAGCACTGAGGGCTCCTGGCGATGGATTCAACCTGCACATGTAAAATAGAGACGAAGATAATATCAGTAAAAACAAAAACAGTGATACAAAGATCGTTGTCATGATAAAAATGATAATGACCGTAATACTAAAACTGATTATGAACAGTAGTCTTTTCTTGCAGAAGATGATTCAAATCCACACTAACCTCGTATAAATGAATAAAATATATAATAAAGAATAGTATTCTAATTGCACAAACTCAAGATACAGAGCATCTACAAATAAGCTAAAAGCAAGAGCACATTTTGTTGTTGTTGTTGTTTTATTGTGTGGGGGGGGGGGGGGGGGGGTCCAGGATTTGATGAAAGATTTCGCAACGACTCAGTCAGCCGCTGAATAAGCGGGATGGAGGGGGGGGGGAACCGATATTTCGTAAAATATGAATTTTTAGTTTTTTTCCCCCTCCAAAACACACACATAAAATAGATTGAGGGGGATTCGACCCCAACCCCCCCCCCCTCCTGCGTACGCACCTGACCTCCATTATTGAGAGGTCATGCATGAATGCTTATGGTGTATTTTCATATTCTTGGAGAATGGAACATGTTTTGAGTGATTTCGAGTTGGTCGTTTGTGAATTGAAATATATTGTTTTCACCTTTAAATTCGTTTGGAAGATAAAAAGTGTTTTAATCGCCTGATTGTGAGATAATCATCGTGTTTAAAACAATCCATCCTCCCGTCAAATGAAGAATTCACTGTTAACAATACAATGCATTTTGCAACATTTCGCTTTTGACGTGGCTCCATACAGGTCTACTGCAGAATCAATGATTACCTAATCATGACTAATGAGCGTCATTGTATTAACAGGGAAATAAGCAGGTTTTTTAATGATTCTAAATTCTAGTATGATAATAATTATAGTAAAAATAGAGAGATATCAACCCTCAATCGTGCGCTTCATATTAAACTCTTTTGTAAATCGAAATAATTCAAATTGTCAAAAAAAAACTTTCTAAACTTACTTACTGCATTCAATATTCCAAGTAAACGCATCAGCAGCGGTTGAGAATTCGTGCCAAAACATTAAGTTCAAAGAGGTCCTTCACAAAAATGACTGTCTCTTCAACGTCCCTGTACACGGAAAGATATTCTCCACTGATTTGTGTAGTATTTCTCTAGAAGACTGAATCTCCATTCCCCTTTACGTGTAACATATAATTACGTGGCTCCGGTGACAATTACAAGCACTGAAGCACATCATCCTCTCAAAGCTCCAAAAGAACTGTCCTAAAAGGACATCAAACATCTTTTAGAGAGCTTTACATGCATTTTACGTTGATGTATTTCATCTGAACTAGTCGTATTAAGAATGCACTCTTCTTGTTCTTCGTTGTGGTATATTTCCTTGGACGTTGAAGTTTGTTACGAAGCTTTGAGATGCTGTGAGTGAGTTGTAAGAATGGAATCTAGCTATAGTTGCTGTCACCGTTCATGCTTGAATGGTTGAGAGAGCTATGAAAGGGTGTGCCCACCCCTTGTGCATGGGGATGCAATGAAGAGAACATCAAATATCAACCCATTGTGACGTCACACATGTCTACTGCGTTCACAAACAATGCTAACAGCTAGTCTGCATGCACAGACTCTAATAGGACACTTTACCACAATTCATATAGCCTTGACCAAAGCCTAGCTCTGTCAGTATCTGAGCCTATGCCGTAGCCGTATGCCGTCAGTTTAGTCTCAAAGTACACACAGTTTTACGCAAAACGAAGGATGAGGTTTTGTGTCTGTGCACTGTCACACTTACAGAGGCGTGGATAATTACATCCATCAATAGTAAAATGGAGTCTTGTTTGTGCGGTATGCTCAGACACCAGTTAATCAATAAAGTTCGAGATTTGAATAGGTCTCTGTCTACAACTAGACCTGTCGAATGCAAACTTATTTTTTACAACTAAGCAATAGGGCCTATTCGATTTATCATTATATACAAGCAATACAATCAGGGGTGTCGATTTGTATCCGTGGGGGGGGGGGGGGGGGGGGATGAAAGGGGCCAAAATATTTTCGGCAATGGATCAAAGCAACCAAGAGGTAGAAGCGTGTGGCAGGTTGCACCCCTCCCTTCCAAGTTATTAACTTTTTCAAGTCACCCTCAATAAAGATAACATTTCAGAGAATATGGGACCAATGTGGGGCCCACATGAGCTTGCTACTTGGGTTATTATCCTCTCAAGCGCGTAACCAGGATTTTGTTTTAGGGGGTGGTAGTGAGCTCTGATGTTTCATTAGATGATTAAAGAAAGAAAACGATTCGTTGTACCATTCTCGACTCTTAATCCTTGTCTGAATTCAGTTTCCCCCCCCCCCCCCCGCGCGAAGCGCGGAAGCTCTGACGTTTCATTAAATTATGAGAGAAAGAAGACGATTCGTTGTACCGTTCTCGACTATTAATCCTTGTTTGAATCAAGTTCCCCTTCCTCCGCGCGAAGCGCGGAAGCTTTGATGTTTCATTGAATTATTAGAGAAAGAAGACAAAAGACGAGTATAATAACTATTACATGTACTCTCATCGGGCTCTCATCATTTTTTTTTTTTTTTTTGTGATGGTGAATTATTGGGGGGATGATTGTACAGGCCATCCCCCCACCTGAAATATTGGGGGGGGGGGGATATATCCCCCCATCCCCCCCCCCCCCCTGGATCGACACCCATGAATACAATTCAATACAGGGTAGTCCCTGAGAATGCTATAATATTGTGCAATCTGTCCCAGGAGTTACGTTGAATTTAAAGGCATCGTGTAACAATGTTGAGATGCATGGCCCTACGTGTTACCAGTGTGTGTGATATGATGGAATATTAAAGCCCTAAACAAAATTGCGCTTCAAAATGATCATGAAGTGCCTCAAAAAATGTAAAAATGTTTGAATGAACGGATTTACCATACTCATTTCCCCAATAGACCGTAAGGAAAAAAATTAATCAAATTTCGATTTCCAATCATAAATATCTCGATAGTCAGACAGTTGATCGGCTTGTAAAAGCCAGTGGATTCCTGACTGACCTAAAGGTTTATAATTATGATTGCAGCATGAGCTAAATCTAGGATTTTGTTTCATAATCTGAGGCAATGTTACCGAGTCACTCCACGCGTTTCTATAGATTGATGGCGAACTTGTATAATGGTGATAAGGAGGGGGGGGGGGGGTGTATGACCGCTTAACAAACAAAAAGCAATCACTTTCGCCATTGAATTTAACGAAATGTATTCATCAACTATCACTGACTGTTATAAATATGTATCCTTTTTGATATTATCTAACACAAATCTTCCATGTAAAGTTCTTCAAATTGCCCTTTTAAATCAACTGTCCGGATACAAAGCCATTCAGAACAGACAAGGTCTGAGAACAAGGGATTGGGTATTTAAAGTTCGTCTCAGATTCTAAACAAACTCCTGGATTTAGTTCACGCTTCAATGCTAATTATAAACCTTTAGGTCAGCCAGGAACCCCATGACTTTTACAAGCCGATCGCCTGTCTGATTATCAAGATATTTGTGATTGGAAATCGAAATCAAATTTAACCGTTTTCCTAACAGAATCAAAATGCAAGATAGTGACATTTAAATGATTTCTATTTAACAAAAATGAAATGGGGAGAGAAGCTGAGACAAACGAGAAAAAGATATATATTTTATACACGTGCCAATGTCTATCGGCTAGAGTCCTGTAAATCTGCTTCCATTCCTGCAATTCTTGATTTGGTCACAATGTATTCATCGATCCCAATTTTGCAGTGGCGTAATTGTGTTTGTTTATTCTTAGGTCATCCATATTGAGGGTATCAGATGAAATTTGTTTAACTTTGCTGTTCAGACTTGCACAACAAAGGAGAAGATACAAAAGCCCAGGACAATTCTATTTTACTGGAAAATGCAGGGCATTAAAAGTACATACAGTGTATAATGTTATATAACATCGACAAAACAAAAGTTAACTAATTTCAAAAGGAAGATATATTTACAAATACTCAATATTATTGTAACCAAGTGAATTATATAGTTTGTATATCATTTGTGAATATTTACAAAAACAAAAAGGAATACAAAGCAAACAAACAAATGGGCAGACAGTAAATAATCAAATGATTAGGTAATTGAAAAACAAAAGAAGGTTGGAATGAATGTTTTGATAAAGAATTCACAGTGAATATACACTAAATAAATAAATAGAAATTGAATAAGTTTATAAATGAATGAATAAATAATCAAATGAATACAAATTATAAATATTATTACAAGACATTAATAAAACAACTTATTCTGCAACATTAAAAACACGTGAATAATGGCAGCATGATGTTAAGTTGCAAAGAAACTACATAATTGGTTCAAATAAAGTGCTCCGAATGCGTAAACAAGTTTTAAAACGAAGCATAGTTTTGTAAAAAAAATTACAAGGGATTTTCTGTTTTTTTTTACAAATAAAGAGTCGTTCATTTTAAGGGGAGTTGATCGACAAGTGTAATACTTTTGAAGATGAAGACTTCTTTCTTTAGCAAAGAAGGGGCAGATAAAACAAAATAATGAAATTCATCACCAATTGATTGCATGTTACGTAGTGAACAAAGCCTTATGGTTCTTTCTCGTTAATTGTTTCATACCTACCCGAGACTACTATTTGTAGATTATTGTAACAACATTTACAAAAAGCAATTCGATATTTTCTTTATTCAAATTGGTAAGGTACCCATTTTTGATTTGTTTTGATAAATATGTTATACTCTGTACAGTGATTGAGGAATGAGTATGGTGCGCGCACGTGTGTCATTACTAAATTTAAAATAGTGCGTGTGTGTGTGTGTGCGTGTGTGTTGTGTTGTTTTGGGTAGTATTCGTACATACTAAATCTCCGTCATAATTGAGGGAATGGAATATGCCCCTTCTTTGTGGGTCGTAATCCTGAGCTCCTGTCCCAATTGGAATACAATATTTCTTTCTACCCTGCAGTCCTCAGACCACGTCAGTCGCAGGTAGCTCATGACAGAAAATATCATCACTCAGATCAAGATCCCCAAGCCAGGATTCATCCTAGCAAAGCTTGAGCGGGAGTCTTAAAGATGAAGTTGAGTTTTGGTCATGCGATCGCATAGTGAAAGAAAGTACGTGGAAGCAATTGGAAAATGTTGATTACGTAATAATAATAATAATATTTAGCTTTTATATAGCGCTTAATACAGATATCTCTAAGCGCTTTACAAATATACTATTACCCGGTCATTGGATTTCAGTGCTTGCCCGCACACACTGTTTGCACAATCTTCACTCCTTGGGGAGCATTCCAGCCAGGCGTTAATACTTGACGCTCAAAAACTGTTTGACCAACAATGACGGTATGCAGTGAGGTTTCGGAATCATTTAAATGATAAGAAATTGGTCCAATCTTGCCAAAACTTACTTGACTTTGTGCTGTACACAGCAAATACTACAAAAACACGTGACATGAAAGCGTGCATGCCCACAACCTTAAGCTATTATTTGTCATTATGTCGAAAATGAGGGCATTTGACGAGCGATCCTTTTCGGTTGACACTTTTCTAAATGATACTCGTCCCTACTAAAATAATATCAATGGAAAATGATTACACAATATGTTGCACCTTCTCCTAGAATTCAACTTTCTCTTTAAGCTACGGCCAAATCTTCCGCTCACTTCCAATTACGTAGCAACGGATAACGCGTATGAACAGCGGCTGAAGTCAGCTTGGTGTCATTATGTCGTCATGTATGGTATCTTTTAATGCCAAACGGCAAGGGAGGGATGATATTTTGCCTGGTATTTAATTTAATTGTGCTAATGGGGAAGCATTGATCCATGCTATGTCAAATGAGAAAGGGATTGATCCGCAAATGTAGTCTGACGTTCAGACGTTCAGAGGGTATTCTTACAGATGTTTCAGTCGTGGTTTGTATGTTGCCCACAATGCCAATTAACGGTTATTAACTCAATGAATGGGAGAAAAACGTTTATTTTGAAACTACGAGATTAGCCTTTGCATGTGATGACATACTCTTCAAATCAACACGCCCTTCAAAAAGTACATTACCCTCAAAATGGGAAGAGGTAAATACACGCACACGTTACATTATATATTTTACAGAAGGGAAAGGGTTTGATGTAAGTTTACATTGTGAATCTAAAGAAAATTCCGTCATTTTGCTCCACTGTTAAAACAGAGTGAATGCGTTGTTAAGACTCCGAAATATAATGTTCACTCAAAATAATATAGAGAAATTTCGATGCCGCCATACTTGCAACAACGAAATGAGAGCAAACCTACATACATCGTATGCGATTAATCCATCAGTAAAGCGAATGTATTGACTACAGTAACTCGTGGGCGCCATGTATCAGCATTGTTATCATTGATATTTAACGTTACACTTCTAATATCGTACCGAAAAATTGGATTTTAAAAGCGGTCGATATTCAGCAGACGACCATCATCGTGTATCGTCCTTGCTTGTGTTATCGGTATTTAGAAGCTCACGCTCTTCGTCTTCATGAAATGACACAAACATGTTGGAGATTACATCACTCAGAAATGAGCGACATTGATGTTGCAGTTACCGATCGCAGGCTCTTTGATGAATATTCTTGAAGCTTCAGAAGTGCTGAAATTACGTTCAGTTACTTAAAAAATCTCTGCCTCTTTCCTTATATGCACTAATATTTATGGTGATACAGTGTAATAAAATTCTTATGAATACCTTAATATTGATACATAGTAGTGACACTTAATCACCTACATTGAGCATGAGAAATATAATGTGTTCATCATCATCTTCTTCTTCTTCTTCTTCTTCTCCTTCTCCTTCTTCCTTTCCTTCTTCTTTTTCTTCAAATTCTTCTTCTTCATTCTCATCTTCTTCTTCTTCATCCTCTTCTTCTTCTTCTTCTTCATCCTCATCTTTTTTCTTTTTCTTCTTCTTCTTCTTTTTCTTCTTCTTCTTCTTCTTCTTCTTCTTCTTCTTCTTCTTCTCTTTCTTCTTTGTCTTCTCTGTCTTCTTCTTCTTCTTCTTCTTCTTCTATATTTTATTTTCATCATCATCTTCTTTTGTATCTTCTCCTTATCATTCTTCCTCTCCTCTTCCTTTCTTCTTCCTCCTCCCCGTTTCTTTTCTTCCTCCTCTTTCTCCTCTTCTTCCTCCTCCTCCGTGTTCTTCATTGCATTCTTCTTCCCTTCCTCCTTCTCCTTCATCTTCTCCTTCTCTGTCTACTTCTCCATCTCCGTCTTCTTCTTCTTCTTCTCCTTCTCCGTCTTATTCTCCTTCTCCGTCTTCTTCTCCTTTTTCGACATCTTCTTCTTAATCCTCGCGTTTAGAGATAAATAATCCTTTCGTGCCTCTTAATAATAAAAGTACATTCATTGGCAGATGTGACATGATTCCTTGTTAGATTCATGTCCATCCCATAACCCCCCCCCTCCCCCCCTCCCCCTCCCCCCCCCCCCCCCCCCCCCCCCCCCCCCCCCCCCCCCCCCCCCCCCCATCAGATTTGGTTTGGACAGGGTTGCGCCGCTGAAGCCTCAAAACCCCTACCCATTATATAACTTGTCTATTTCTCCTGATTCTATCTCATATTTTAGTGTGCTGGAGGAACCATTCTAGGCTTTGCAATCTGGATTCGTTTCAATGAAGATTTCTTCAAGCAAATTCCGGAGGATGCCGGTATAGGCGTCTACGATGGGACCTATATATTCATGGCCGCTGGAGGCGCTATAATGATCGTGGGATTTTTCGGTTGCTGTGGCGCCATCAGAGAAAGTGTGTGTCAGTTATCTATGGTAAGCCGTTGCGGTTTAAATCATTTCTTGTGAATTGATTGGAATAAAACATGCAATGTGGAAGTCCTATTAATTATGGGTGTAATGTAAGCGATATCAAATGGAAGCTTATAAGAGAAACATTTGTACAAACGTTTTTATATAGGTACATAATGTCCAAATATTATGGTTAATACTCAGAATGATTTCCCTCGTTTGAGAATGAAAATGAATACAAATCTGTTTTCTTCATATCAACTTACTCATTTAAAAGGAATATTTCGTAAACAATACAACTATTTCTATTATCATCATCGTTATCATTATTATTTTTTACTATTGTAATTATTATTTTTACCACTGCTACTATTATGCAGTATTCTGTCATAGTTCTCATCATATTCTGTGTTAGTAATATTTTAGAAACAATAAAACAATTTCTATTATCATCATTGTTACGATTTTTATTATTACTATTAGTATTATTATTGTTACCACTGCTATTATTACTACTATTAGTATTACTATTATCATCATTACAATTGCTATTGTTATTACTATTAGTATTACTATCATTATTATTACCACTGCTATTACTATTACTCTGTGCAGTATTTCGTCATAGTTTTCATCATATTCTGCGCTGAGATAGCTGCCGGTGTATGGATGTACATTGAGAAAGATAAGATAGGAGAGTCAGCTGGGGATTATTTCGACAAACTGGTCCAAGAGAAATATAGCGGAGATGTTTCCATTCAGCTACTGGTAGACTACACACAAAAGAGGGTAAGTGGTGACTTCTTTTTGGGGTATACCCTGGGCGTTATTTCAGAAAAGGCAAGTTGGCTCAGTCGGCAAAGCGTCTGCCTGTCGTACTAAAGATCGTGGCCCGAATTCACAAAATAGGTTCGTCGACAAACCTAGGTTTATGTGCATCATAATTATGACGCGTTTTGATGCGTTTCAGACCAAGGTTTAGACAAAGCCCTGACCATTAGTATAAAAACAGGGGGATTCCCAATGTAGCAGTGAAGTAGATGTTAATAGGGATAATTGAAATAATGGTGCATTTTTTGAAAATTTGTCTTGCGGCCGTTCAAGCTTTGTTAATTTATGACGTGGAAAACTTTTTGTCCTTCTCTTTTAAGTGTAACACGCATCACATTTCTCTACCCAAAAACGCAGAATAAGTGAAGATTCATAATACCTTTGTTCGGTGCAGTTGCCATAATGCTGCGCTTTCCTTTTTTTGTGTGCGGTGGTTAATAATTGTGTCTATTCTGAAGGAGCCTTAACAATTGGAGGGGTCAGTGACACAAAGACGTAACTCTATTTTGGCTATTTTGAGAAAAAGTGGGCTATGTGTCACTGAGCACTTGAGCCTTGAGGAGTTACGTCTATATGTTCACTAGCCATTGACTTCAATGGGGTATTGGGTGGAGTTAAGTCTTTGTGGTTCCTGAAAAGCCCACATATTTCTGAACATTTGATAGCAAATACTCATTTTGGCAAAATATGGAGTTACGTCTTTGTGTCACTGAACCCTCGAATTTATTGTCTTCCCGAATATTACAGTTTGGTTGCTGTGGAGCCAGTGGACCTGACGATTGGGCGTTATCGAATCAACCCATTCCAGAGTCATGTGGTCGTAACTGTACAGAGGGTTGCTTTGAGTCAGTTGATAGTGAATCAGTTGATAATGACACGTATACACATGATGAGGTAAGATATTGATGAGGTGTACCATAAATCTACTACATGACAGCAGTATAAGGACCATGGACTGGAATAATATTTATACAACGAAACATTTGTCATAGGTTATGATATAGTATCTCTGCCTGATCTCATACACGGGTAAACTATCTAGTTATTTATATTTTTTTATCTCTAGTTATAAATTTCCTCCATGTATACTATACTTCAATTATTTCTTATCAAAATATTATCATATCAATTCGAATGTCAACAATATCGTTGGTGTACCGTGTACAAATGAGTTACACATCCGAATGTCACTCGAGGAAACCGAATGCACTGACCCAAATTATCTCTTTCATTGACTGTATACCAACTCTAGATTGTTATTAATCTTCGCGGACTGGGGTTAAAAGACTTTGATATGGCACTTTAAATATATATTTTACACACTACAACCCATTACCTGAAATTATGGACTCGTGATTAGTGAATTACGTGGTGCCCTTGTTTGAAACTTGCTTGTAATCGGTTTCGCCATTTCTATGTAAAGCATTCGTCACTATGAAATTGTGATTGGTGAAAGATGTAAACTCGAGTAATCAAATAATGTCCCTCTTCCTATTTCGCTTTTCTTCAACATATGCTGATTTCTTTCCAATTACGCTGGCTCCTATATCAGGAAACACCATTCGCCATCTCATATTTCGTTTATTCCCGTATAGCCAAAGTTCATGCACTTACTTTCTGTATTTAAGACGATTTATATTTATATATTATAGCTTTGCTCCGAAAGGGGAAACTAATGTATATGTTAACCTCCAGTAAAGAAGAATATCAAATTCCTTTAAATTTCACTTGTTTCCTTTTCATCTTCATCTATGTACTTGATTAGCAATTCATCCATCCCTCTATCTGAAAATATATCAATCCATCTATTTATATGAATTATCAAGTGTTATCGTTGTTATCTTTTCAATATCAAATTATCAATGGTATCAATTAATACCTAATAATTAAAACAGAGAATCGTGTTGAAAAGAGCCATAAGCTTTTCGTCCGGCGCTCATCAGAGGAAAAGGCAAGAATGAAACAGAAAGCCGAAATCAAACAATAAAACGGAAACCTACAGGAACAAGGCGCGAATATAACGAGCTCTGATAGGCTATTTAAAGGGATAGTTGAGTTCTGTTTTCAGACCGCAAATGCCTTCAAAGTGCATGGTTATTCCTCTTATTCTTATCTATGACATTTCTAGTGCCCTTTTAGAACCTAAAATTGCTATGAAGGTAATTTTAGACCCCAAAATGTGTGAAATCTAGCTAATACGATCATACCAATTCAGCTCCATTTCAACAAAAAACACGGTGACTGTTAATTAATTATTTAATTAAAAATAACAATACATGAGCCGGCTAATTGTGGTAATATAAGCAACACGAAAATGCCAACAAAAAGCCAACATTGGCTGAAATACGACGTAAAAAGCGTTTTTCTTTTTTTTTTAAACGGTTTTTTCAAATTTTTCAAAATATCTGATATTTGTGGTGGTACACAAGTATTAGAAATCGTTATATTTCAGCCGTCTCTGAACCGATTTTGATCAAACAAAGATGATTTTGTCATTTAAATATTATGTTCTTTTAAATGTGATACTCAGTTTTTCATTATCTCACAAAAAAACTATTTTGTGTAGCGCCCTCAGCAACAGAATTCAACTATCCCTTTAAGGTAATTATTATGTTTTACTCTGATGAGTGCAATACAAAGCTTATGGCTCTTTTCAATGCGAGTCTCTGCTTTAATTATCAAGTATTAATTGATACCATTAATATTGAAAAGATTACAACGATAATCCGATCTTGTAGTACCAATCGTTTTTTCAATAATTAAAATACTGCAATGTATTCAATCGTTCTTTCTCTTGACAGGGTTGTAAAGGCAAGATAATCGCCATACTTCAACAAAACCTGTACATAGTTGGGGTTACCTGTGCAACCGTCGCCATCGTAGAAGTAAGCTGTTTTCTAAATATCTAAATGAATCGTCAAAACGGCAACAAGTATTTGTATTTTCCACTCTTTTAGTTAAAAAAATGAATGGACATTAGACAAGTAAATGAACAAGAAATTGGCTATTTGTGTTGTAGATTTTAGGATTTTAAAATTGCCAAAAAAGAGAGACAAAATAGTTTAGGTATATTAGGGAGACAAACCCGTTTTGTATAATTGATGTTTTATATTAACGCTTGCGGGCGACTTTAAGATCGTATACTTGCGTTGTAACACGCTGTTTAATAAAAGCACATTTCTCTCTGACATTTTTAAAATAAATAAAAGCAGTGAAATAAAGATAAATGGTTTCGTAAAAGTTTCAGGAAAATTTGATAATGAATACGGAATCAGTTATGGTACAATTGTCCTTCAGATAGGTGTAGGAAAGGTAGTTGTCCATCGTTAGGTGTCAGGAAATTAATTGTCCTCGGTATTGGTTATCTGGGGAAGGATTTCCCAGAGGTATTCATCCTGATTGCATAATGTAATATACCATTTCCAGAATGTATTGAATTTTTGTTTATGCACGGTTACCTGGTGATAAGCATACATTTACGAGTTTAATAGTAAGAAAGCAAATTGCATACAATAGTTGATGCCAGCTAGTCAAATTAATATTGCGGCTCGTCCTACTTTATGAGCACGTGATGTATGAAATTCCCATTCTGACTATATATTGAAAGACATTTTCTTTGTCACAGTTGAATGATGTTACTAGTATAAAACTGGTAATTAACAAATAAGCCATTGTGTACATCCAATTTGATCACTAATTAGAAGATGGGAAAAACCCTATAACATGACAGTCAAACTTTTTTCTTTGTCACAGTTGAATGATGTTACTAGTATAAAACTGGTAATTAACAAATAAGCCATTGAGCCACCGAGGAGAAATTCAAAAATAGGATCCTCTGTAGACAGCTGGTATTTCTAGACAAATTCTTCAACAGACATTTCCTTCTATATAGAGGGGGGGGGGGGGCAGTATGGATGATCACTATAGACAGGTGGCCTTTATAGAGAGGTGGTCTCTAAAGACAGATTTGATTCTATCATAAAAGCAACCATTGTCCAAAGAAATTAATTAATTTTCTGTTATATTTTTATTTTCTCCGCAGGTACTAGCGATGATCCTCACAGTGTTCCTATGCAAGAGAATAAGACGAGAGATAGATGAAGAAGACGAGAAACCTTATAATGCTTAGGATTGAATGAATAATAAGGAACGTACATTCGATGCGGCCGGCCAAATCTGGGGCCGTTTCACGAAACTTCTTTAAGTACAAGTTTGCCGACATCTCATTGCAATTCGTGTAGACTCAATACACGCGTTTCAATAGGACGTCGGCGAACTTGTTCTCCTGGGAGGTGTTTCACACAACTTGTCATCAGTGACAAATGACAGTTTTTGTTATAAGCTACTGAAATCCTTGATTCTGATTGGTTATCAACAGATTTGTCACTGATATTTGTCATTTGTCATTGAAAAAAGGATTTGTGAAACGGGTCCCAGAAGGTTTCATGAAACGCTGCCATAGTTTATGCTTCTACGATGTATGATGGGCCAAATGTCAATCTCTCTCATTAATATAAATTCTGTAACAAAGTAGGATGGTCTAGGAGACCAATATTTCATGAGACCAATAGGTTTGTTTCATGATCCCGTTTAACTCTTATCATGCCACAGGACTAATCCCCATTGTGCCAAGCCCCGAATCCCCCTGTACCAGGTTGTTTTGGAGATAATCTGATTAATGCGATGGTTCTATGAATATAGCGAGTGCAAACTACACAGCACAGTCCAATGAGCATGAACAATAACTGCTATTACTAGTGCTGCATTGCACGCACATGGCACTCAAGCGATGACTCTCTCGCATGCACAAAGCATTATAACGATAGCGTGCATGCAACCTTATGGCAGGCTATGAGTAAATAGAAATAATGTGAAGAGGCCTGTGAAACCGACAGGAGAGCGTCATGAGTGACCGGTCTCGTGGGCTGAGGTTTCGTGAGGTGCAGTAGTTTACGAATAGATTGAAATTGATGAATTCTTGAAATGAAATTCTTTATTGCATTCCGTGCGACATGATATTTAGTTTATTCACTTAGGGTGGTATTCTCTAAGCGGACTAACTTTAGTCCATGGTTTAATCCTCCGACTAGGTATGGAATGCCAAGTGTCCATATGAATATGTTTTTGAATAAGTTAATATGTCACTAAATTAAAATAAGATGTAATAACATAATTAATAAACAACAATATAACTATGTTATATTTATGTTATCATTGTAATTTAGGGACATATCAAATTATTCAAAAATATATTTCATCTGGACACTTGGCATTCCATACTTAGTCGTTGGATTAAACCATGGACTAAAGTTAGTCCGCTTTCGAGAATACCACCCATAGTTGCAAGAATATGGTCATGGGATAAGAGGTTGACATTTAGCACTCCATACATTAGTGGGGATTTTTGACCCATGTAGTCAAGAAAAGTTTAGAAACTTCAGGAATAATGCAATGAAAACGCTAACGAGGCTTTCCTCGTTCCATCGGGTCTTCGTGTCGGTTCGGGTTGTTGGTTGATACACACACGTTTATGAAAACACGCCCCCTATTGCTATTCTATGACGTGAATATATCCGATGGCACGAAGAAAGCTCACTAACAACGATTGTTTGCACACGTTGGAGTAATAATATCTATAGTAGAATCATGATTTATTTGTATTGTGTGATTTTAAAAATGAGGTAACGACGTTTGTATTTTTGGAAATCTCCAAGATGTATGCAAAAAGTTATGGGTTGACGCCTCTCAACAAATTTCATATCGTCATGTTTCATATACATGATATATAATGATGCATATTGTGTCAGCCTTTGGTTGGTCAAAAAATTAAAAAAAAATACAACAATATTAGTACTTCCTTCATACCAATGACACCGACCCCAGACCAACAAAAGACCGAGTACAAAAATTAGATTATTTGGAGAGGATGATGGATCTGTTTAGCGGTGTGAGTGAAGCATCATCTCATTCAAACTATGGTCAAAAAGTCGCGATTTTTCTATTGACGTGATGTTATTTTGGGGAGCGACTTGTGTATGTTTATTTCCCAAGGTAACCTCCTACCCTATTAATAAGCCCTTATGTCTGGGCTGCGGTGTAAATATGCATATGGTTTATATGTTGATGTGCATTTTCTATGCATCCGAAGTTTCCTATTAAACTCGGATTTCGTGTTGATGAATAAATTGACTGTTTCCAAAGAAATGCCACAGAGATCTTCAAATCTCATTGAACGTTAAAAGGCTAAACTGGCAAGCGGTCTGGGAGGGGGAGGGGGGGGGGGATAAGAATGATACTAGTTGTAAGCAAGAAACATGGTTGATGTATCATCTTCCTTCGTTTTCTTTATTACAAAAATATTTGTAACAAACTTTGTTTGTTTCTTGCTTGAATTGAATGAATTCGCTTCTTTTTTAATTACCTCAGAGGTTCTATGATTGTACAATCCATTTTCATTTATCAAAATGATGATAAGATGAGAGATTATGCCCCTCCCCCGATCTTTTTCGACGTGTTACTATTATCACGACTTAACTACATAGTTGAGTCAAAGGGCTTTGGGATACATTCCCCCTTTCAATATTATTATGATCAAATTGTAAATGATATGATAATACAGGTTAAATCAATGGAGAATTCACTATGTGTAAAGCATTTTGTAGAGAAAAAAAAACTTCAAATTTTCATTACTTACACAGATACTTGCCATAAAACAGCAAATCAGGAATTTTAACTTTCTTGCAACAGAATAAAAATTAAGATTTGCATATCTGGGCTCCGTTTTATAAAGAGTTGCAATTGATCCGAATCAATCGTAAGTCCTCTTATCAATCTCAAGTTTGCAGTCTCCTATCTCTTATGTACATAGTTGCGATTGATATCAATCGCAAATTAGTTGCGATTAATACCAACTATTAATGAGACAAGGCCCGGGAGTAACAAAATGGTGTTTCCTTGGTTTTGCCTCCTTTCATAATTATACATTCAAATCTCAAAAAATTAAGTGTCTAAACAGACTTTTCCCTTATTACGATAAGCTTAGATGGTAACAGTTTAGGTCGATTCTGATGGATGTTTTAGTAACTGACTTTGAGGTGGAGAGCAATAATAACCAATAAAAGAAACACGCGTTTGACTACATTGCCTAATTCATGAAGATTTCTTATTGCTGTTTCCTATTGTACTTTTGTTACTGCTTAATTATTCTCTTGTGTGTACCGTTGGTTACTTGATCATGTATATATGTTAATAAATAGTCTTTCAAAAAACATTCTGTCATGAAATGTCTTTTGTGATTCTAAAGTTGTTTGATTACGCATTCAACGTTTGATATACCCTTCCTTTATTAAGTTGTTAGTAGTAGTAGTAAAATGATTTAGTAAAACAAATGGTAGCCCGAGGGCTAAATTGCATTGCAAGTCTCACAAGCTCAGATTAAGAAAAACCTTCCAACAAAGCTTAGACAAATAACACACATTAAAATAAATTACAACTTTTTACATATTACATATTTGCAGATACAAATTGTATAAATTCGTCACTATCATTTTTGATTATTATTAAGTAAGGAATATACATATTTCAAATATATGTTGAGGTTGATTAATTGAGTTTATGACAAACAAATACTTAAGATGTATTTGATGGAGACCTTTTACACCTTTGAGAAGAGTAATTCGTCTTATTACAATACTAATACTTGGGAAATAACATTAAGCATGCATGTTTGACATCGAACCATGATATACTGCAAATTATATGACTTTTCACAATGCTACTCAATACAGAAAGAGAAAGTGTGTGTGTGTGTGTGTGTGCGTGTGTGGGGTGTGTGTGTGTGTGTGTGTGTGTAATTGGGATTTTAACAGACGTGTATCAATGAGATACGATTATTTCCGTCTGGGGACCGACCTTTAACGTCACCATCCGAAAGACGTGACTCAGTTTCGAACCTGCGTCCTCGGCTGAATCAGTTTATAACTTCCACTGTTAGCTGTTAGCAGGCGCACGCCACAACGCTTAGTTAAAATGTCAGGGAGAGAACAATTTAAAGAGAGAGAGAGAGAGTATAATGGAGATACAGATTTATTGAGAGGGAGAGAGTGAAATTAGAAGAGAGAGAGAGAGAGAGAGAGAGGGGGTGGCATGAGAAGAGTGGAACAGATCAAAATGGAAGACATTGAGAAGAAGATTGATGATTGAAAGAAAACGACAAAGGAATAGTTATTGGATATAGTAACAAAGAAAGTTATTTATACACAAGACATTTCAGAGTAAAGTTTAAAATAAAAGGTATGCTTTATGAACGCTAAGGCCCGAATTCACAAAGGAGGTTTGTCGACAAACCTTGGTTTTCGTGCGTCATAAACTATGACGCGTTTCGACGCGTTTTTACAAACCAGGTTTGTAAAAAAACGTGTCAAAACGCGTCATATGACGTACATAAACCTCGGTTTGTCGAAAAACTTCCTTTGTGAATTCGGGCCATAGGGTTCATTCAAATCAATGGTTCGGAAGTTGTTTGGTGAACAGCGCCATCTTCTGCAGCCACTTCTTCCATCGCATCTAAATCTCAATGACCTCTTTATCATTCTCTCTGTCTGTCTGCATGTCTGTCTCTCGTCTCCCTGTTCTCTCTCTCTCTCTCTCTCTCTCTTCTCTTTCTCCTCTCCCCTCTCTCTGTCTCTCTCTCTCCATTCTTTCTCCATCAATCGTTTCCTACCTTGAACCCGTCCTTTTCAATAACCTCCTTTCATTTACCCCCTTCTCTTACCCTTTTTTCTATCACTCCCTCCCTCCCTCCCTTCCTTCCTCCCTCTCCATCCCTCCTCCTCCCTTCCCCTCCATTTCACTTTTTCCCCTTCTCAGTCAGATATCTGTCTGCGTTTTTTTCACTTGGACTGACCAATAATGTTACTTTACTATCAATGCCCATTTATTATGTAAACATCAGCTTGATTTTCTTCATTTGATTAAAATTCTCATTTTGCTATGCAAAGCATGTTGCCTATTATTGTACAAAGATATCGCTGACAAATTGTGTTTTTATGTATATAGTGTATGTTATGTAATTGTATGTCGTCTTTTAATTATCTTTTTGTAAACGTTTCGGAATCGGAACATGTTACCGTTATTATCGTTATTATTATCATTATTAGTGTTATTATCGTTATTATTATCATTATTAGTGTTATTATCGTTATTATTATTATCATTATTAGCGTTATTATCGTTATTATTATTATTGTTATAACTATAATCATTATTATTGTTTTTTCTTTAACAGATGAAGGAGTTTCCGCCACAGTAAGCTTTGATATGACATTCGAAACACAGGACAATGAACTATTAGTGTTCACAGATGACCTCAATGACCCAACTTCCGCTCGCTTCATTGAGCTGCAGACCTTCTTCTGTAGAGCGGTAAGTGTTCTCGAGAATTCCGCACCATTCATTTATTTATCTATTTATTTATTTTGTTTTATTTCGACAGGGTAGCCCCATCAGTAGTTAAAATACTGTTTGTTGATGATATATATGTTCAATTGCAAGCTTTGTGTGGGGAGGTGTCATGGTAAAGAGGTTCTTTCACATGACTCTTTATCCAAGCGAGGGTTCGAATTCAAGCCGGGCACTAGTAATAATAATATAATAATAACAATAATAACAATAATAATAGCTGAATTTATA